ACACTATATTAGGCGGGAAAATGCAGGAGTTTTATGATAAAATAACTTTGAAATTTTTTCTTTTTCAACTGAATATGATATGAAAGATTCATATGTGTAAGAATATATAATCTAGGCTGTTAAAACCAGAGATGGGCAAGTCAAGTTAAGATTGACTTAAGTCACAGTCAAGTCAAGTCATTTTTGACTTGCTTTGACTTGACTCGAGAAATTTGAAATGACTTGTGACTTGACTTGACTTGACTTCGGCGCTTCCACTTTTAGCAATTAACTTGACTCGACTTGACTTGAAAATTTCCTTGTTGGACTTGACTTGACTTAAGACTTGGTGATAAAAATACAAGTCAAGTCATATATTTAAAGAATTTAAAGAGTTTTTCTTTCATGTAAAGAATGGTGATGACTGACGTGTATAGTTCATAAACTCTATCTCTTACATATTCGAATCAGATTAGATGAATACAGACAGAATTCACTATTATAATTGTTGCTTTCATACAAGATTAACAACTATGTATTATAATTAAGCTTTATCTTTTCATTCAATTCAGAGCAGAATAGATTGTATATATTTTATTTAATCAAGGAATGCACTTTATGCTTTCAATTAAAAGCACTTGTCCCAATTATTAGTCGAATTTCAACTTGCTTAGTATACTTTGCTGCTTTCAATGCTTAAACAACAAATGCGTCATTATATACGTACGTATATATTCGAAACATTCTATGTAAGAAGTCACATATAAGTGTTATTATTAGTGGTAAAATAACCAATTGTGTGAAAGAGAATGTGACTCATATATGATCTATTGTACTAGACTGATTCGAATAGGTCCATTGTTGTTAAATCTAGATATGCATGAAATGAATTTAGAAAGTAGCATGCATAATTCGAATAATGATCCAGATATATTTGTTTTACCACTTGCAACACCTGATGGACATCTACCTGATAGCTCAACCACAACGAAAAATGGCTCTACCAATAGTATTGCAAGAACAATTAGAGACGAATTCTATATCAATATCAAATCCTTTGAAAAGAATTGGTCGGGTGAATGTCGAGTGTGTCACGAAGTGAAATATGATAACTTAGGTGTAACGTCGAATATAAATCGTCATGTGAAATCAAAACATGTGAAAGAATACGAAGAGTGGTGTGCTGAACTACGGTCTGTCGATGGATGTGGTATACAACAAAAGATATCAGATATGTTTGTTCAAAAAAATGAACCAAGAACAAAAGCATCATCAAGTTCATACAGTGTTAATCATCCACGACAAATTCAACTGTCTCAATCCATTGTTGAAAATCTGATCATTGATTTAGGATTACCATTGTCAATAGTTGAACGTGAATCTTTTATCAAATTTATGCACGATATTGATCCAAAGTTCACCATGTTTAGTAGACGAACATTGAGTCGTTCTAGAATTCCACATCTTTTCAACAATATGAACGATGAACTGAAGAAATTTTGTTATCAATCCCAATTTATTTCTCTGACTTTAGATATTTGGACGGATCGTCGTATGCGTGCCTTTTTCGCTATGACTGGTATGATATTTAGCTGCTCTAATACCGACGAGAATACCAATGTAATAACTTCATTTTTATATTTAGGTCATGCTTTTGTAGGAAGTCAATTAAAATCATATGTATTATGTTTTTTACCTTTGTATGGTAGCCATACGGCGAATTTATTGCTGCAAACCTACGAGAATATTGTTAATAGTTTTGATATCAATGGAAAATTAGTCAGATTAGTGACTGATAATGCGAGCAATAATATTAAAGCTTATGAGAATTTGATTATACCTGGATTTGAATCTTACTTCGAGACGGAAGATGATGATAATGATGAAGGTGGCAGTGACATCGACTTAGATGGCTTCTTAGATGAAGAAGCCAATGAACCTGATATTCCAGTTGATATGAAAAAAGATTCGAATATGATTGAATTAATAAAAAACAGCTTTGACAATGTTACTTCTTCCAATGAATTACTACGTATACCATGTTTTGCTCATTCAATTCAGTTAGTGGTAAATGATGGTTTAAAACAAACGTCATCGATTCAATCGGTCTTGACAAAAGTAGCTAAAATAGCCAAACTATCCCATTCTAGCACAATTTTTGCAGAAAAACTCGAACAAATTAATAAATCTATACCAAAAGCGAACAAAACTAGATGGAATAGCCAATTTAATACGATTGAAAAGGTTCTATCGATACCTTCATTAGAATTAAATGACATTTTGATTACGCTTAAACGCAAAGATCTTTGTTTACTTACCAAAGACTTCGATATATTAAATGAATTCGTTTCATTATTCACTTTATTTGCTGATGCAACAACCATCACGCAATCTGAAAATATCCCATCAATCTCTTATGTTGCTCCCACTTTATTGTCCATTTACTATGATCTGTTGAATGAGCGATCATCTGTCAGATACACTTCATCGTTATGTGATGCTTTATCATCTTCATTGGTGGCTCGCTTTGGTGGCTTATTTGAACAACTTCATATTCCTATCGATTCATCGATTAAAAGAAAATGCACATATGAACTTTATAAAGATGAAATATTTCTTTACTCACCATTTCTTGATACGAAATTCAAACTTCATTGGATTAACGAATCCTCATTACCATATGATACAAAAAAAACTGTATGTGACAAAATAACAAAACTAGTGTATGACCATTGTGTGGTGCTTCATCATCTGGATCAATCAGCAACAGCAGCATTTGAAACAAGTATAGTTCTTCCGAGTTCTGAACCAACAACACCATTAACACCAACGAGATCAACTTCGAAACGTAAAAGTCTTTTCTCCAATATCGAACAAAAGACCAATAAAAGACAAAAAACTGATGCATTTAGTTTCATTCGAGATGAAATCTCGATTTATCTACACGATGATGACGATTCAGATCGATTACTTCTTATTAATCAAGCGAACAAATTCAAAACATTAACAAAATTAGCAACGAAAATTCTAAGTGTACCTGCAACATCAGCACCTGTTGAAAGAATATTCTCACAAAGTGGCTTTTTATTCAGACAGCACAGAGCCAAAATGTCTCGAAGAACATTACAAATGTTAACTATGTTGAAGTGTAATCATGGATTGTTGTAAAATCTTTTCTCAATAAATAGTACTTCATTAAAATCGACTAATATTTAAAATAAAGATAATGACTTGAGACTTGGCCAAGTTTGACTTGATTTAACCAAATTAAGACTTGACTTGACTTGGGACTTGGCGATTTTAGGCGGTAACTTGACTTGTTTTGACTTGTTATTTTTATGGAAAGTAATTGACTTGACTTAGATTGACTTGACAGAGGCCTACAAAAACTTGACTTGACTTTGACTTGAAAAAATCCCGACTTGCCCATCTCTGGTTAAAACATACTGAGACATCAGCTATGCGCCATCCACGGAACTATGAGAAGCTAGAAATAGTTCGATGAGAAAATTTTTATTTTTATCAGATGGTAGCCAAAGAAATTATGTTGAAATTGATTTTGTATTCGAGATCAATCATGATCATATGACTCGACAGAGATCAATACTTTACGCATAAAGTTTCTGAATATCTAGAAATTGTTCTTTTGACAGTGATAGTTGATTTCGTGTACCAAATACTGGTGGACAAATAAAATATGCAATAATATTTTTGTACGGGATAGTTGCATTTGTCTTGGCTTTGCTGAAACACCTTATCTATGCATCAGAGGTGTGCGGTCCACGGGGATTGACCTGCGGGGACCGCGGGGCCACGTGGTACGGGCGGGTCGGGGACGAAAATTTTTTAATTTATTCGGGTCGGGTCGGGTTCGGGTTCCGACAGTGATTTGACGATCCGGGCGGGTACGACCGTAGACAAAAAGACGGGGACTTCGGGCAGGCGGGGACAAAGTGACACGGGTTCGGGCGGGGGGCGAAATTTTTCGGGGATGAATAGAAGACCGTGAAAAATTTCCAACAGCAACATATATCGCTTTTTTAACGTATATTCGAATAGTAAACAAGGACTGGTTCATTTTTTTTCAACCTATCAACAACAGTCTATTTGTTCTTCTTTATATCTTTATTACTGACCAATATTCAGCTTGAATATTTATTGTTTGGTTCCATTGTAAGATGAAACGAAAACTAATTATCAGTTATTTTCTTCAATTGACACCTGTAATAAAATTTGTCCTATCAATAGCAATGATTGAACTACATGATTTATCATCTGATGAATCGTTTGATGATATGAAATCATCAGATACATCTTATTCATCTCCAAAGACTGGTGCTGCATCTAATAAAAGTTCATCGAATAGTACTATGTACGATTCACCCAGAGTGAGTGATATTATACTCGTTNAGTTTGCAGGAACACCCCAGGACACAAGTTGAACCTACGTTTAAACTCCCGCCCCGAGTCCGTCGACAAGGAAATGTTCGGAAAACGAACCTAACCAGCCGGAACCAACCGTGCCATAATAACCTGGGACACACTCCATACTCCCCCGTGAAGATTTTTAATATGAATGCCAGAGCACAAATTGAATATGTCTTTGTTTTAGATCAACATGCCGCATCATCCTCACCGTCGTCTACGACAACGTCATCCGTCAAGACTTGAATCAACTAGACCACAAGAAAATTCATATATAGGGTACGTAAATCTGATTTGTCTGTTCATTCTCGTCTAAAATAATATTAATGTATGAATGGTGAGGCTGATCGCGCCCCTGCAGCACGACATTTAATATTTTCATATAAGTATGTCGCGAAGCACGCAGTGTGCAGTAGGCGCAAAAATTCATATCATGAGCCTTTCGCTTGAGAAAAGAAACGAAGATGATTGCTGGATCACAGATGATGATGATTTTGAACGAGCATATTTTTCCTTTTGAAGAGATATATGAACTACTTTTTTGCTCGCCTGTTTTGTTTATGCTATCCTAGACTGATACCAGTACTCAACTCTATGTCAATCACGAACGCGAACGATTCTATTGAATCAACACGTCCTTGGAAGAACAAGCCAACTGGTATGAAGTGGAGGAAGCTTTAGAAAGATAAAAGTTTTTCAATTGATTAACGGTAGGCACCGACAAGCACAAACCGAATTTCAGCGGAGCCAAGGTTATTATGGCACGGTCGTTTCCGGTCGGAAGTTCAAACGTAGGTTTCAGTCATTTCCCGACCGTTTCCTGCAAACTTCGAGCTGAAAACGGTCAGGAACTGATCGGATATTTCCTGTGAAATTCCGGCCGGAATCGACTCAAATTTCAACGGATCCAGTCGCCGGAATGATCGACCTGGGAGGTTCTTCAAATTATTAAATGTACAAAATGTAAATTTACTCGGACTTCAAAGAGAACAAGATATCCAGGACAATGTTTCCCGGCTACCGAACGCGCCCAAAATCACGCCTTTCCGAGGATATTCCGGACAGTTCTAGCTAGCTCCAAAAGGTTTCAATTGGAAAACCCAGGAAAATGGAAGCAGCATTCCGATCGAAATTGTCGGAAAACGACAGGAACTTAATGGAAGTTAGTCAGAAGCGAGCGGAAAAATTCAGAAATATCTGGTTCCAGCTCGGATTTTTCGACCTGGGTGATCGTTGGCTCCAATTAATGGAAAAACAACAAAAAATCCATCAACAGCAAATAGACTCAATGATACAAGTGAATAATGTACTGATCCAAACACTTAAATCACAGAGAAACGACAAGGAATAAACTAACATGCTCGTCTGTTCAGATCGACGTGCAATAGACGTTTGTTTTTGCGTATTTTCCAACTCGATTGTTTATGGTTAATCAATGACAAATCCAAGTGTATATCTTATAATTCTGTCGTCAATCTCTTAACTCGAATAAAGCAATAAATAAATGATTTATGTTGAGAAATCAATCATTCTATTAAATAAACTTCAAATAAACACTCTTTTCAGTTTGGCTATTCACCTGAATACGTTGAGGAGCGAACGTAGTGTGTATATTATCGAGAGCAATTCTCGGAAAATTCGCATCTCTCAAGTTTCACTTCACAAAAGACTGATGAAGACTTAAAAGAAACGTTCAAGATATATCCGGGGAAAAGAAATTTTGAGTATGTTAGGCGGCAGAATAAATCTTTCAAATCGAAGATATGGAACTGAAGGGCGAGGATTAGTAAAAGCTTCATTGTATTCAAACGATACGCGTCTCCAAAGGAGGGTGGGGTGGGGTGGGTGTGGGTGATGGTGTGAAGTTGAGGGTGAAGGTGAGGGTATGGGTGTGGCTGCTCAAGGAGTAGTGGGTAACGGAGGATGCTTGGCTGCGTGACGCCGCGCCATTAGTGCAGTGGGTGGTAATGGTTGGGACCCCTATTAGTGTAGTGGGTGGCTATGGTGAGGACCACCAATGGTGTAGAGAGTGGGTGGGAGTGCTCAAGCAAGGTACGCGATGATAAGTTTATTGTTTTGGTTAGAAACAGGTAAGAGAGCAAGAAAGAAGCTTAGAGAAGTAAAGAGCATGCGTTTGAACTAAATGTTTATTCAATGTACCATGACGGTAGTTGTTGACGAACGTTTATATGATCACTTGGGGAGTGCCAGTTCTTGCTGTTCTAATGTTTTGAATGATGGTATTGTAATCTTGACCTTTGATTGTTTCGTATGTTTGAAGCGAATGTAACCGATTAGAAAAAGTACCGCTAGAATCAATAGTGCTATTAGGACAATGCCGAATGTGAGCATTGAATGCGTTTTAAACTGTCCCCAAAATAGAATTTCGGAAGGCGTGGTGGTATTGGTGATAAGATCAATAATAGATTGCATATGCGATGGAATGTACGGCTGTTTTTCCCACTGAGTATTGTTATGTATGAAAGAGTGTAGGTCAATGACTTCCTCCTCAACAGCATTCACCGTTAAGTTTTGGTATAGAACTAGTCTGGAGTGGGATTGAATGGGAAGCCCATGCAAGTAGAAATAATCACAAGATAAAGCGGCTCCGTCTTTAGCGGAAAGTAAGGAGGTAGGTGGTAGAGTTATTGCATTGTTATTCATAATTTTATAGTTATCAGAATCCAGCGGAGTAGCTCGGTGACATGTTGTGGAAGAATTCATGGAGATGGCCCAAAAATTTCCTACTTTACGCACAAATATTGGTTCGAGATACGGCTCTATGCGGCATGATTTTAGTGGCGTGCTGATTAAAACTTGATAAATACACATATCCTCAAGATCTTTGCGGATAACTGGGTTTACACGACAGGACGTCATCACTTGAAAGCAGCATGGCTCTGCTTCTTCTGGAGACCATCGTACAAACTGGCGAGAATCGAGTTGAATCGCAACGTAAGCCGGCATTTGAGAAAGTCTTACACGTTTCTGTTGGTGATTAAACGGAATAGGTATTGGCTCATAAATAAAGAACGGCTTTTCATCATGGTTTGAAGTGGCAAAATGCGAAGTAAACACGAGTTCACCTATGATTACACCAAACGTTGAGGCTCTCATTTGGATTGTAGGGACAAACACTATCTCTTGACGAACGCGTAACCGAGTTACTAAATCTATCATTGATATGGAGCTTTTGTTATCTTCAAATGAGATGTTCGTTGCGTTTATCACATATTCCCTCGACTGTAAGGAGGGTCATATGAAGTAAAATAGTTTGTTTGTTTGTGGCAAAACAACGTGGGCGAGCCTGGACTGCTGCGCGCTAAGTGGCTGAAGTTGCGCGCGTGTGGGCGAGGACCAAGCGCCTAGAATGAAAGATTAAAAATCGTTTTTCTTGAAATATTTGCCATTTGAAGAGTAATCTTTTCCGATCGAACCTATGGTCGACGGAAGAGCATATTTATAGCGTCCAGGTATGACTTGAGGCATCAACTAAGAATTTACTAACTCGGTAATTTGGCTAAGCGGATACTGTATTGAGAACATGGACGAAGACTCGCCACATGGTCTCTTGAGAAAAAGAGGTTTGAACGGTGGCTATCTGTGCCATGATTGAAGGCGAAAAATGACAGAAACGTCACGAATAGTTCGTGGAGATTGATGGGGCTGATTAATAATTGTTGCAAATCATAAAATGGATCGATAGCTAGCGCGCGATATCAGACTGTGAAATTTGATGTCTAGGATGAATGAATCATGCATTGAGCGTCTTAGATGCATTTGTCATGTGGCACTATCGATAAGGCGGGTTGATACATGTTTTGTATAGTTCTAATGACAAGAGTACAATGGGAAGAAAATCAGCCAAGCGTTCAGCGAGAGTACCCGACCAGCGTTACTGGTGATAAATTCACAATAAAAAAGACCTTTTATATCCTCTCATTTGTTTTACAAAGACAATAAGCTATTTTATTTGCGAGAGTTAATAAAAAGTCGAACAGAAAAGGTTTNAAATTCAATAATTAATATTCGTGGAGTCATGCAGAAACAAGTTTATTTTAAATCTTAAAGATAAATTATTCAGGTAAAGTGAAATAAGAGGACTTTTGAGATTGTATTGAGGAACAATTGAACTAGGCTCAATCTTGTATGAATTTAAGCATTGATTATGAATTAGAATTAGTTTGTTTTTCTACAGAAGCGGTGCGAATTAAATACAAACTTTCTGTTTTACACTATAATAATTGTTATACCAAATTAATTCGACCGCGCTTGTGTGGTTTTTTGATCGACGAAAGAAAACGGCAATCAAAAGCAGCCAAACAACAAGCCATCAGCGATCGAGAACAAGACATTTGTAAGGATTAACTTTATTTTATCTTTTCAAACGATACTGAGTGACTGACAATCTTCTTCAAAGTTCCCACTTTAGCAGACGAAGAAGGTTTGCTTGTTTTTGATGACAGCATCGCTCATGCCTTTTTAACATCATTTGCTTTTCAATTTCTTTCGTGTTTTACATAAACAAGCTTCTTTGACTACCTATCTAAAGTAATCGCTTGTATCAATCGTTTTCTCTTGTAAATATCAAGAGATGTTTTGAAAATATCTGTAATATTTTGTTTGGGATCTTCTTGTTGTTTTCAATTAATGGAAACGTTTTCAATTATTAGTCTGCGAGCTTGTTTTGATACAAAAGAGATTGAAACGACTCGATGATAACCTGTCCATTCTATAAATCATAGACATTAGATAATTTGCTCAGAGATAATAGAAAATCGATGCCAAGCAATAATGGACAATCTATTTTCATTTATGACACTCAGTCGGAAGAGAATAAGTGTCAGTTTTTATAACAACGACGTTCTGTATCACACATTTGTTTCTTGTTACGCAGCAGGCAGAGTGTTGGTCCAACCACTCGCCTATCAATGTGAAATTTTTGAATCGATGTCGGAAGTTCTGGTTTCGAGATTTATATATCTTTTTCTCATGAAATGAAGTGTTCCAGTAAAAAATTACCTAAAAAATCTGCATTATCTGTTTCACAATAAAAAAATGACATAGAAAACGGGTTTAGACCTAAACACCAATGAATAAAACAAAAAAATGAAGCAGTAAAGTAATAATCGAAAAAGATCAGCAGAAGAATGATGAAAATAGAAATCATTCTTCTTTAGCTAAAAATTGAAAGAAAAAAGTTCTGTACTCGAAAGGTAAAGTGAAACAAAAAGGAAATCTCATGTTTGAAGACGCAAAGGAGAGAATCTTCGCTTTAACAATATTCAATCCTTCAATTTGATTTTTTCACTGACTTCGATAACTTCTTTTTCTTTTTATAAGTTAAAGATTCGAAGTAATTTGACCCTGAGTGTCTAATCTTGGTAACTGTTGTTGTCGTTTCTTCCGGATGCATGGTCTTTTGCTACTTCTATTCAGAATACGAAAGCTTTGAACGTGATGAATTCTGTTTACTTACGAAAAATATTCTCTACAACGCCTTTATCGATATTCGACAGCTTGAAGTTAACTGGTGGATCGGGGAAAAGAAATTTAATAATCGAGCGCGTCGTACACGTCGTGTTTTCTTTTGTTCAACGAAGAAAGCATCTTGTCGTCGATAGGCAATAACGGTAAGTGACAAACTTTCCGTTGATCACAAACATATGAAACCGGATCACTAACATTTCCAGGATTCGATGCTGAAGAACCAGTATCAGTTTCACCGACGGCTTCACTGTCGACACCCATAACAAGATCACTAGCATTCATTGTGGTATCGTCATGATTCTTGTTACTGAAACTCGGTAGAACGTCGTCGAAGAATTGTTGAATGTTAACGTCCGATGGAATTGCTAACAGAAGAAAGATCAAGTGAGAGAAACGTTCCAATCCGAAAACTTACATAAACATGATTTCTCCAATAGGGCAATTCGATCTTTCAATTCAACCCACCATTTCTTCAATAATATTAATTCGTTTTCTTCATTGTTGCCTATATTACGATTAATTGATTCCAGCTTTCGTTTTTCACCGATAGTAGCCGGAGAACATACATCAAATGTATAATCACAGATTATAGCGAGAGCAAAGCTAATCGTACTTATTTCAACGATTTCTTTGTTAGCCCGATGATCATCAGATGGGTAATCATTTTCCTTCTGATCGTTCACTTTTTGTGCTAGAGTTGTTTTTCAAGCCATTAGCGAAACAAATTAAGTTAAGTACTATCGATCAAAACACCAAAGCAATAAAAGAAAATTTTCGAGCATATTCTCCAAGCAGTGTAGTATATATTGATTTCTATCAGCCAATCACGACACATCTCACTAACACGATGGAACTAGGGAGGATTTCTGCTTCGTTGCTACAAACGTTATAGGCAAAATTTACGGAGAGATCAACTGACAAATATTTCTGTCATAACTTTCGAACAGTCATTATCATGAAGTCCGCTCACATGCACACCAATATACAGCATATGTCTACATCTCACGATATTCATTCTTTCTCGTTCCATACAAATAGACCAATCTGGTGCTTTATTCATGAATGAACAGTTCTCACTTATTCTACACTTCAATTAGAACGAATCAACAGATTTCGATAGCTCAGCCTTTATATCGACCCTGTCAATACAGACAATATCTGGTGCAGTCATTTTTCGCCGACCATGATCAACACGATCGACATTTATACAATCTCAAAAACACACAAGCAAAACAGTCGACAATCTTCACCGACACACAGGCTCTCTCATTTCACTTCAACACAACTTCGAATCCAATAAGAACTTCAAGTCCATCAAAAGTCAACAAGCACTACTGCAGATACACTTCCCTCGCACATTTCACCATAAACACCGATGATCTTCCTAAAATCAACATCATTACAGGGTGTCATCGAAAATCGAGATTTTGTTCAGATTTCATTCACCGGTTTGTTTTGTGCACCCTCACCCTCAATTCTAATGCACATCGTAGGGTATGTGCATGCGTTTGCGCACAAACTAAATAAAACGTAAATAATACATCGTATTCATGCGAAGCATCAAAACGTAAAAGCGCATCAATATGTATTTTGTATAAAATAGGGTCTATCACACAACTCAAGTTCGGCGCAGGTCGAAGAATGGATATAGTAATAATGCAATCTGTAAACAAGCGAACAGAGTTAAATAAAAAGGATTTTAACTCGTTATCTCCCATCGGAAATAATTCAATGCAAAATAGTTCACTACATGGTAACAATCTTACAGTCCTGACAACCATTGAGTCACTTTTGAACATTCCATCTCAATTGCTGTCTATTGATGAAACTATACGACAATTCAAGCCTACGGTGCCTGTGTTTTGTATTCGACCAAAAACAATTCAAGCCACTGCACATTATTTTTTATCGAAATTTCCAGGTGAGGTACTCTATGCAGTGAAATGCAATGCAGAGCCAAGCATCTTGAAACTTTTATGGAGTGCTGGACTTCGTCATTTTGATTGTGCATCAATAAGTGAAATCAAATTAGTTCGTACTCTTTTTCCGTCTGCAAATATTCATTTTATGCACCCAGTGAAACCTAAAAGTGTGATATTCCAAGCATATTTTAATCATAATGTTCGTGATTATGCACTCGATAGTATAGAAGAATTACATAAAATCACTGAAGTGACTAAAGACAGAGATGATCTTGGCCTCATTGTACGAATTCAAGTAGCAGAAAATGTGGCATTGCATGATTTATCGCGCAAGTTTGGCGCTAATGTAACTGACGCTGTCACGATATTACGTGAAGCACGATCGATTGCTAAACGACTAGGCATATGCTTTCACGTAGGCTCTCAATGTCTAGAACCAGAATGTTATGAAAATGCATTAGATATAGTAAAACACATTATCGATGAGGCGAATGTCAAAATAGACGTTATCGATGTCGGCGGCGGGTTTCCTGGAACTTATCCAAATTGTATACCGCCGCCTCTTAGCGAGTTTTTCCAAAGTATCGAACGTGGCTTTCGCAATTTAAACTTGCCCAAAGAGACGGCATTGCAATGTGAACCTGGTCGCGCTATGGTATCTGAAGCATGCTCAATCGTAGTTCAAGTATTAGCGCGTCGACAAGATAGTATCTACATAAACGATGGAACATATGGAAGTCTATGTGATGCTGGCCCTCTGGTACATAATCGCTATCCTGTACGCGTTCTTCGTCAAAATGAGCTAATCGGAGCAGAGAAGAATAATTTAAAAGCTTTTCGGTTTTACGGTCCAACATGCGATAGTCTAGATGTAATGGAGGGGCCATTTGAATTGCCGGATGATATTGAAGTCGATGATTATATTGAAGTAGGTGAAATAGGTGCTTATAGTATAGCGCTAAAGTCACAATTTAATGGATTTGGTGAAAACATTATTGCTTTTGTCAGTGACGATCCTCTCAAAGTTGTTCCAAGTGATGAAAATAAAAACAAGTAATAATTACTATAGTCTTAACTCTCTTTTAACAAGCTCTATGAGTGTGATGGTAAGTGTGCATTCTCGCTTTGGAGGATATATTATGTCAGTCACAAGCAAATGAAACAATTTTGTTTATTATATAATATGAGTATCTATTTGATTTGTCTCTGAATTTGTTTGCAATCACTTTATTTGTAATAGATTTAATTGCGAAAATAAAGGAAAAACAGCCAAATGAAAATTTTTTATTAAGACAGGAGCTTCATATTAATTTAGATGCTTTCTAGAATATGCTTGGATAGTCCACTCTGTCAGAGAAGATAATATATCCCAAAACTGAGCAGCCAGATATTCCATCTTATAGAGCTCTTCAAGGCGCATCAAATGAGGTATATTGGCCCTTTAACGGTATCCTCATTTTATCACACAAACAATATTATGTAGATCTCCCTGGACCAACATAAAAATGAACTAGATAAACTTGATTTTTCATCAGTTTTGCAATAGTTACGATATATCATGTCTTAGACAGTGACTTTTATTAATGTATAAAAACGATGGTATGATCTCAAAAAAAGTTTTCAAAAAAATTAGAATAAGTTTATGATTACACATGCACCAGTACAGTCTGGCTGGGTAATAGTTACCTATAGCAACATCCACTGTAATACATACATCTGTTCACCTTCAACAAAAGTTTGTTATTATTTCCTTTGTATCGAATAATGACTAACTCTAACGCTTCTAATTTCAAAGACGAACGAGGGAACCGTCCCAACTGTCCAATCGCTTTTGAGCTGATATCTTGGGTATATATGGATGCTTTAGAGACTAGTATAATCCTAAAAGGATTTGGACTGATAGGCCGTTCGAGCCGACTTATAGGGGTTTTACTGAATTTTGAGCAGTTGCGCGTGGATGTGAACGGAAAATGAAAAATAGGAAATTTGAGCTGAAAATTTCAGTTAAAAACATTGATTACTCGCTGAGATATGAAATATGGAAGAAATATTTGTTTTTCCCGGTTCTATCAAAACGAAAGGTACAATGACGATTGATTTGAAAAGTCAATGTCTCAACGAGGAATCAATGTTTTTATTGAAATTTTCAGGAATATTCTAATGACAACTGAGGCTGTTTGGGGTGAAATTTTCAGCTCAAAATTCCTATTTTTCATTTTTCGTTCACATCCACCCGTAACTGCTCAAAATTCAGTATGTTATGATACGAGGTGTCATGACATCTATTTTCTCGACTATTTCTTTCTCATTTCTGTTGTTGCCAGTTCTATATATGTTTGTGAAATAAATGGAACTAGTCAGTTATGCTTCGAGAGTAACATTGAACACACACCTTTCTTTTCCATCATCGAACATAACAGTGGTGACAGCGGTCTGAAGAAGAAGAAAAGCAAATTTTCTTCTTTTAATTTCTCGACGAGCGCTCAACAAAGAAGGAATCCTTCTTCACTAGAAGTTGATTCTGTATTCGGCATTCAACAAACCAATTTAAATTACAATAGTGATTAATAACGAAACATCCTCAAACCCTATCACCGATCCGAAAACGATGGAAACGCCAGTTGTTACTCGACAGGTGCAACAACCACACATGTCTGACGAATCAATACATCGTCACGTCCGAATGTTGATGGAAGGAGAACGAATGGGAGCGGACGAACTGTTTACAGCACTGAACAAATTTTATAACGAACAACGTTATTCATCGTCAGAGCGTATTCGGTATACACTAATGTTTCTAAACGACCAAGGAAAAGAATGGTATGAACAAAACAAAGCCGAAATCAAGGACGATTGATTATCTTTCTGTGATCGATTGAAGCAACATTTACAAAGCGGCCGACCGATTCGTACACGTCCGTCACCGCCAAGTGAAAACGTATCAGGGCACAATGAAGATAAGTGCACATTGGAAGGTATCATCCGTGAAAAATTTAACACCTATTCGGGTATGGGTGATGCGAAAAGTTGGCTACTACAAACCATGAATCAATTCAAAATATATCAGATACGACGGGACGACCAACTTGAAGCCATCCCTTTACTGTTAGTCGACGAAGCTTATTTATGGCTCGTGGAAAACATCGAAACTATTCCAAACTTCGAAATATTCACCAAATTATTTCTTGGACAATTTGCATCACCAACAAGTCCCACCAAGGGTACTGTTGCACCAGCGACTACCGTACCTGTCCATTCACCTGCATCACACTTACAGAGAACCATAGCTGATGAAATAATCAAACGGCCAACATATTTTCGTGGTTCGCAAGATGATGTACACGACTGGTTGGAGAAATTGGAACAACGATTCACTATGCCACATTGGAACGATGAGGACAAGTTACAATCATATCAATACATCTACAAGATGATGCCTATCGATGGTGGATAGAAACATCCACTACGATAAAGACTTGGTCTTCGTTCACAGTTGCTGTCGTGCGAGCTTTCGGTTCAACACGAGTACAAGAATTGGCATTTGAACAATTGAAATGTTACAAACAAACCATCAACCAGTCTATTACTCAATATTATGAAAAAGTTATCGAACTATGTAAAAAAAGTCGATGTTGCAATGCCTGATTCCTTGAAATTAAAATATTTGATGGCTGGAATCAAGGAATCATTGAAAATACATGTTGCATTACAAGATCCGAAATCAACTGAAGCATTTTTATCATTAGCACGAAAAGTTGAAGATATTTTTGCACTTAAACACGCCGATCAGGATACTATTGTAAATTATACTTATTTGAACGCAACTAGTTATCAAAGTCAACCAAATCAAACGAACTTCACACCAACGTCGAGCAATAATTTCCATCGAATCAATCCTCGACATCCAACGGTATTAAATAATCGTCCGATGTATAATCGAAACACATCAAGTGCATACAATGGTAACCGGCAAAACAAATCTTCGAAGTATACAAGGTCAACACAACGATCGAATGCATGTTTTAACTGCGGTACTCTTGGCCATTATGCCCGAGACTGTACCCGTCTGCATTTTCAATAATGGAAGCACCGGCCGATGGTGTTGCTTCCACGAATTTATATAGCAATCCATCGACGTTAAACACATCATTGCTTTACCTTGATGTTCTTGTAAATAATAAACAAAGGAAAGCAATGATTGATACTGGCGCAAGCCGAACATTTATTTCATTACAAGCACTACCTAGACCACACACTCAACAATTTATCGATAAACAACAGAGACGTGCATCTTTAGCTGACGGACACACATCACTTTCTATTTTAGGCACATTAGAATTATGCATTGATATCGGTGACATGTCAACAATTATCAAAGGATATGTTGTGAAGGAAGTATGTGCCAAATACATATTAGGAATGGATCTCATTAGTAAATATAAAATCATTATCAATGCTGATGAACGAACAGTGACAATGCATGATGATGATAGATGCATTACAACGACATTTGATGTTAATCAACGCAAATTCGTTATCCAACACGAACAATTCGTCAGGTCTATGTTCCGCCGAAACGAACAGTCTCAATACCAGTCAACGTGAAAATATCACCAGCCAAAGTTTCATTTCGGCCATCTTTTCGATTGGCGCGACAATCACCAATGATATTGGTAAACAACATGGTCGTGGTGAATCACCAAAAGTCACACATTTCACTTTACAACCCGACTAAATATTCGTGCACAATACCAGAGGACATCGTAATAGGAACGACCATAGTTCCAACATTATCTTTCAACAAATGTTTATCGATCGATCAGGAATTAGTCAACGGATATATTACAAAGTTGACTCGACACGTCGCAGATCCGAAACAAGCAGATGAAATTACGAATATCCTTCACCACCATGAGAANTTTCGGTTTTACGGTCCAACATGCGATAGTCAAGATGTAATGGAGGGACCATTTGAATTGCCGGATGATATTGAAGTCGATGACTATATCGAAGTAGGTGAAATAGGTGCTTATAGTATAGCGTTAAAGTCGCAATTTAATGGATTTGGTGAAAATATGATTGCTTTCGTCAGTGACGATCCTCTCAAAGTTGTCCCAAGTGATGAAAATACAAACAAGCAATAATTATCATAGTCTTAACTCTCTTTTAAAAAGCTCTATAAGTGTGATGGTAAGTGTGCATTCTCGCTTTGGAGGATATATGATGTCAGTCACAAACAAATGAAACAATTTTGTTTACTACATAATATGAGTATCTATTCGATTTGTCTCTGAATTTGTTCGCCATCACTTTATTTGTAATAGACTTAATTGCGAAAATAAAGGAAAAAAACAAATGAAAATGTTTTATTAAGACAGGAGCTTCATATTAATTTAGACGCTTTCTAGAATATGCTTGGATAGTCCATGTAAAGCTATACACAACGAGAAAGGACTCTGTCGGAGAAGATGATATATCACAAAGCTGAGCAGCCAGATATTCCATCTTACAGAGCTCTTCAAGGCGTATCAAATGACGTATATTAACCGTTGAACGGTGTCCTCATTTTATCACACAAACGATATTATGTAGGTCTCTTTGGATCCACATAAAAATGAACTAGATAAACTTGATTTTTAATCAGTTTTGCAATAGTTGCGATATATCATGTCTTAGAAAGTGACTTTTATTAATGTACAAAAACGATGGTATGTTCTCAAAAAAAGTTTTCAAAACAATTAGAATAAGCTTATGATTAGACATGCACTAGTACAGTCCGACTGGGTAATAGCTACCTATAGCAACATCCACTGTAATACATACATCTGTTCACCTTCAACAAAAGTTTATTAGTATTTCCTTTGTATCGGATAATAACTAACTGTAACGCTTCTAACTTCAAAGACTGACGAGGGAACCGTCCCAACTATCCAATCGCTTTTGAGCTGATATCTTGGGTATATATGGGTGCCTTAGAGACTAGTATAATCCTAAAAGGATTTGGGCCGATAGGCCGTTCGAGTCGAGTTATATGGGTTTTACTGAATTTTCAGCAGTTGCGGATGGATGTGAACGAAAAATGAAAAATAGGAATTTTGAGCTGAAAATTTCACCACAAACAACCTCAGTTGTCATTAGAATATCCTCAAAATTTCAGTTAAAAACATTGATTTCTCGCTGAGATATGATATATAGAAGAAAAATTTGTTTTTCCCGGTTCTATCAAAACGAAAGGCACAATGACGATTGATTTGAAAAGTCAATATCTCAACGAGGAGTCAATGTTTTTAACTGAAATTTTGAGGATATTCTAATGACAACTGAGGTTGTTTGTGGTGAAATTTTCAGCTCAAAATTCCTATTTTTCATTTTTCGTTCACATCCATCCGCAACTGCTGAAAATTCAGTAAAACCCANACACTAAAACAGATAGCGTAATGATTCGTGCACGTGGTTCTGGATCTCTCTTTTCCTCATATGTAGAAGTTAATCAGATACCCAACGCATGGTATATGTTATCCACATTCCTTAGCGTTCTCCGATCCCGGTGGCGTCGTGTTTCACATTTTAACCCCGTAGAGATTGCGCTGAAAGCTATTTTGGCACTAGTGAGTTAAGTTATTTTCCTAAAATGCATTAGATCTCACAATAAGTTTTGTGTGCTGTTTCGGCTTGTCAGCAGATTTTTGTAGAAAGCTAGTGAGTTTTTTTGTGTTTCACACTACATTTTATTTTCATATACCATTGGAACTACTCGACATTGCACTTGACAAGCATGACTTGGCTTCAGAGCTGGGCAACTCAATTCAAAAAATGATCAACTCAACTCAATTCAATTTTGAGTTGAAAGGAATTGAGTTGAGAAGAATTTCTAGAGTTGATGAATTGAGTTGGAAAATTTTTTAAGCATTGCGTAGTTGAGTTGAATTAGACACCTTTTTGAGTTGAGTTGCCCAGCTCTGCTTGACTTGTTCAAAATAGTATTTTATTAGGGGGAAACGCCGTTCAACTCTAATTCTGTGGTCGAAAACATACGACTCTACTACTATCTACTAGTGATACGTGGTTTCCTTTACCGAAACACCACCATTCTGCAATAGAAAGTATACATCCTGAATCGATGTGAAGTGCCGAGTTGCGTAAAATTACTATTACTTGTTTTTCACACTCAGGTTTTGTTACAAACTTTTAGCACAAGGAAAAGCGAAGATTTCATGAATAAATGCAAATCCAGCAAACAATTTGAAATACATCTTAATCGGCTTGGTTTATAGTGCTAATGTATAATCTACCAGTTTTATCATAGAATCACCGAGTTTCTGCAAAGAAACGACATGTTATTGTCAGACGCAAAACTGATGCGAAAATAAACATTTATATCTGGTTACAAACAATTATCTGCAAAAAATATAATTGTCGTATACTTAAACGATAGAAATATTTTAAACACTTGTTCATTTCTTTATATAAGTTAAATGAAAAAAGTACTTAAAATGACACTGAGCCGTTGTTGTAGTACACTGTAACAGCAGTATTGAAGCTGGAAAGTAGACTAAGGCATCAAGGAGATGTGATTGTGTTTCGTTTTTATCATTATTTGGCATTCAATATTAGAATTTCGAGCAAGAATGACTTGCTTAAGCCAAATTTTGAAAAATCAAACGAAGAGAATCACGACTAGCAGCACAAACCGAAAATATGCCTTATTTATATGACAACATAGGATATACCAATTAGGAAGAAACACAACATGTTCACTAACTTAATGTGTTACTATACTGTATTAGAAAGAATATTGACCAGTTATAATTATATAGCTACCGATTGTTTCAGTGTTATATGTAGTCTATGTTGTTCGATCAATGAACTTTAGCTATTGCTATTGAGCTGATGTTGTTCCGAATAATCGTGTTGTTGTAGATCGACTTTTTTCTTCTCTAGTAAATATTGAACTTGAATATATAAAGTTGCGTATGGTGCCAATTTTTGTTTTTCATAATCACTCAGGTAACGAAAACCTTGAACATTTCCACGGCAGGATGGCATACGACAGTGGCACTGTTCAATAAATCCTATTATATAAAAGATATATTTATCTTTACATTGCAGTTAATCTTATTTAGTCTTTAACTACTTAAGAATAATTATTCTCATTAATTTTTAAAAAAAATCGGAGTTCGATGTGCAATTCAGTATAAGAAAAACTTCCGTATTTTCTAGTGAATACATAGGGTAGTCAATAAGTTACCGGAACTTCAAATATTTATTTGTACGAAAAACATTTGGCCAATCTTGATACAATAAATATTTGAGTTAGTCGTCACGGTATTCTATAAAATTTTTCTTCGTTTAAGGCCCCATCACTCAAAAAATGTCGATTCTCGTCACAGAAATTCGAAATGGAGATAAACATATGGGAAGATAGCCTGAAGTCGGCTCTTTCAGAAACACTATCGCTTTTCACTAAATACCTCTTGTTTGCCCAAAAATGTTTGATGATCTATATCATTTAGTGGATAAAAATACGATTTTTTTTGTTTTTTGTTTTGGAAAATTAGTATTTGAGTAGAACATAAGGATATTTCGATAAGTTCAATCATGTTTTATAAATAAACTAAGTGCATTCTACAGCAACAAAAATTGACTGACTGATTGTCAAAGAAAAAAATTATTTTAAAAGTTTTTATAATAACAAAATCATACTTGAAAAATGTTTTTCGCTTTTTCTCGATTTACACCTTTATTGAACCCGGACCCAAATTTTTCGGTCCTAGTCGGTACTACATCTTTAAGTTGTTTTGTTTGAAAGAGCATGCCAAGATGCACAGAATGATGAAGTCCTTTTTTTTAAATTAAGCTTTGTTTTTATTTGTATGAAGTTACTTATATACATAGATCCTCATTTTCAGAAGGTTTGTTGACACCTTCAACTTGTCACCTTTTTATTTCACATAAACAATAAGCTTTTAAAGAAGAGTCTCATCATCCTCTGCATCTTGAAATGCTCTTTCGAACAAAAAAAGAATCAAGGATGTAGCACCGACTTGGGCCGAGAAATTCGGGTCTCCAGATGAGCGATTTTTTACCCTTCTTTAGTGGATATCTCCCTTCAACGTTATGGTACAGGATTGAAAGTTTTATCATAGGCTCCCTACTATAGTCCTAACATACCATAAAAGTTTCAGTCAACTTGCATGCACTTAAGCCGAGATAGGCTTAGGACTGGTGGGGAGGGGGGGGGGGCCTTTAAATCTATTTCTACAAGACCTTTTGGCATCTTTGGATGAGTACTGAATTGAGCTATGTGGTTATTAAAGTAGCTAAAGTTATAACATGTGACTTTCTGCCGATCGTACACATGAGACAACTGAATAAGTGAAAGCTCAAAAGAATAATATAAAGTCTGCCTTCTGAAATAATCATAAGTTTGGATTTTCTTTGTGAGGAAAATGACGATCTGAAATAATATCTTACGCGCTCGTCTATATTTTACCGATACCTATCTTATGGTATCCCGAAAGATGCTCCCCGGAGATTTGCTCCCCAGCGACACTTGCTCCCAACCAACATTTGCTCTTCGCAAAAACTCTGGTGTAGGCACAAGCCTGAGTGAGGGCGAGGGCGCAAGTGTAGATAGGGGCTTAGGTGTGGGTGAAGACGACACAGAGAGTGAGCTTTGGTTTTGATTAGGACTAGGTCTAGGCCTGGAGAGAAATTGTCGTTGGGAGCAGTGGCGTAGCCAGAGGATGGCAAATGGGCATTTGTCCACTACAACTTTGAGCCTTGCCCACTGTAATTGTGAATTGATGGGTCTTCTCCCACTAAACTTTCACCCTTTTCAAATTTTAACTCTCATGAATTCTTTTCGTATATACGTGATGATGTTGTATTTCGTGGTCAACAACATGGTGCGCTAATGACAAATCTTGAGACCTGTGTGGCTAAAAAAACACGAAAAGTTCATCAGGAGTCTCCTTAGAATTCGATCACCTTTTTCTACATTCATTATCAAGTTCTTCTTCTTTCGGCTTTAGCTATTTTCTGAAAGTTTTGTTTAGCTATGAAGTTTTTGCTCAGTGACAAAAACTTTGCCCCTTTTTGCCCAATGATTTTACCAAAATTGGCTATTTTTGCCCACTGGTCCGAAAATCCTGGCTACGCCACTGTTGGGGAGCAACTGTTCGACGAGCATCTGTCATGGAACCTTGTTGTATACCATGTTTTTCAACAATGATATTTTCTCTTTCGTTTTTTGACTAAACGCTTTCCAGATCAATGGTGATTTTATATCTGATATATTAGGTATGAGGTGATGATAGTATAGCATTATTAAAATATGGATTATCTATCACTAAGTCTGTAATAAGAACAATGATCTGTGGAATGATGGCAGTTATTTGATGATCAATGCAAAGATTTTTTTAAACATCACTCGTTCGCTTTAAAATCGATGGACCCAATGAGTCACTGTACTACATGAAGCAACATCTGATACACAGTTTGTTCATGCAAAAACTAGAAGTACCGAAAGTGATCATTAACAGTTCGCTCGATTTGAGGCTTTCGGAACGTCGGCTTGGTATTTTAACGCACAACGTGCGTCCCTTATAGAGTAGAACGACAGAACGGGTAAAGCTAGTCAGAGTGAAAATTTAAGTGGCTCTTACGAGAACTTGTTGGCTACCCTATGTACATTCTCTTTTAAAGCCGTTTTATTCATGAGAAACAAAAAGATATTACAATCAGAATATTCAAATAGATTTACAAAAAGCTTTCTGCGCAATCCTTAACGAGATTAAAAAAGTGAAACACGATCCAGCCAGACAAACTTTGAACACATAGAACGATCAATTTATTTCCGGTCTGCATTCCCATTTATCTAAACTTAAGCAGTTGAAAGCAACCTATCATTATCAATAGCGATGTCCGCTGCTTTTTAAGAAATTTTTGCTTCATCGGTCACAAGATGTGATCCTTCTTATTGTGCTTCCATTACTTGATCTCGACCTGTGACGCGAGCTACACGTGTCGATGTAACGAAGTTGAGAATGAACCTTTCTGTGAGACAATGATACACAGTTTATTTGCCTTTTCCTCTAAAAACCTCTCCCTCTCTCTCTTAATTTTTTAGGTGTCCGCTTCTATAGATAACAGTGAATAACGGTCAAGGCCTGTCGGTAACAGTCTGTCACAGGATCTTCGGACTAATTTTTAGGGTATTTGACCGGTTTTTGGACCTGTCTGTAACGTTTGTGGGGGAGAGGGTTGGTCCAAATTTCTGCCCCTACACACTTCAACACTTTCTTTCAGATCGTATTTCACAAAACAATGATCAACGAATATATTTCAAATAAAGATTTTTCAGAAACAGCATGGTCTCGTTATTTAATCTAAAAAACAAAAAAAATTTTGCTCTTTTTTCTCACTCGTGATAGTTCATCTGCGATTCAAACAAGAATTAATACTGCTTACAATTTTGGTGATTTCCGTGTATTGAGACGAGTTCCTTGTAGTTTACTGTAAAATGCGTTTTTAATATCTTATTTTGCTGTGGTAGAAACTGGGTGAAATTTCAAGTGTTCGAAAACAAGTCGCGTAGTCAAGAAGAAGATTGTGATGACTTTCTCCCCATCAAGCGGTCGTACATTCGAGAAGTCTCAAAGTCCGGAGAAGCAGATCATGCTACTACGATCGAGTGATAGATAATCTAGCTCACCATCAGGCCTATATCGTTCAAATAAGAATACTTAAATAGGAGCGTAATAGTTTGAGTTCAAAAAGAACTAGCTTTTTACACAGATATAATTGATCTATTCGTTTCAGATTCCGAGAATAATAACAATTGACCAATTTCAGCTCCGTACAATCGTGCGATTTGATCAATATGTAATAAAATAATGTAGCTGATTTTCTCTTATATACGTATATTTTTACCTTTGACATCATATTCTGCTAGACAATAGTCCACCGTTATCTCGTCGTTCGGTTGAATATCTCTCAATGCGATAAAAACACTTTCGCTGCGATCCTCTGCGTCTATAATTAAACAATTGGGATCACAACTATGATTTATAAATAATGAGAATGTGCCCAAGACTGCAATATCAATACTTCGATAAGGTATGTGTATATATCCGTTCATATGATATTCAGTGCCATCAGGATCAACAATTAATTTAAAATCGCCATCTTTTGGGCGAATCAGATGAAGTTTTTCTTTGAATATAATGGTATGCGCTTTGTAAAATTTTGTCGCATATATACCATTCATTGATTCACCATTAAAGCGTACACGGTTTTCAATTTTAATACCATTTGGCAGAGTACAGTGTACTACATCAGGACAACAGTCTACAGTAGAAATGCCCTCTACCGTTAGCCAGTCAAGCTTTTTCGAGATAACTTCCGCAGCTGATGGACTGAAAGTTGGAGCAGGATAAGAAAAAACAGAACACTCATCAATTTGAGTAGAAGTGACAGGCATCTAGAAAAGATCGACATTATATACGATTGTGTTAGATAGCAATTCGTACACCTCGATAAATCCTTTTTATCTGGGTGATCTTGTTATTTTCCTTATTGGCGGTGAGTTTCGTTCTTTTGTTCTCTTTCTCTTCTTGAGCTTGATACATATGTTTGGGCCTTTCCTGTCCATCGTATATGTCCGATCTTCGTCACATGCGCTAATGTTCTTTATTACTCAAAAATAATTCGTGTTTGTCTACTAATGAATGAAGATGATACCATAGCTTCTATATTCCCCTATCAATCGATCAGTCTTATACCTATCATAGTTATTTAATTACACTTTTTTCAACAATAGCAAACAGACATAATTACAATAATTCTTAGATCGAAGCCAAAATTAATATCCAATAATGCGCGTATTACCCTTTTTAACCTTTTTCGTTAGCAAAAACAACTAATTAAACAACATTTAATCTCGTTCCACGTGTTGAGTGGTGGCAACATATGCATATGGGTGTTTCCATAGAATTTCCTCTATCGCTAGATGAAGTATTTCCTAACAACGCGAAAATTTCAGCGTTTGTAGAGCTCATCAAGGTGATCATTTTGGCCGATTTACATTTCGCAAAATATCACAGCATCCTTGCTTTCTAAAGTTCAACTTTTCACCCTTCTTCACATGAAATCTACCACTGGTATTTTTCGAAACTTTTCGTTCTTAGCTATTATTGTCCATATATTTTTGTACTTAAAGTTCTCTCAATAGGCTAGCTTCATTCAGTTTTGTTTACACTATCTGGAGATATGTTGCTTCAGACTCTATTACTTTTCAAGAAAGAGTACAAACTCATGAGTCTCGATAAATATCCCTTGTGAATTGCTGTACATTTTCGCTAAGAAAAATCCAGTTTTCTAAATTCCCAGAACAACCGACATATAGGGAATGATAGAGCAGAACTTGCTCTACAAACTGATGTACTTGGCTTCTCGGGGCATAGAGAAATTATGTAATGGTGAAGATAGAAACTTAGTTGAATTTTGGCATATAAATATGCTATTTGATATCCTTTATTACTCGTAACATGAGGATAGTAACTCGAGCAGTTGTTGTCTTAAATGTCTTTACTACTGAATGGAATCAACTACTTAGGGCAATCCAAAAGTAGTGAGGGAGGTATGTTATTTTCTTAGGCAGAGACGTAAAGAAATTTCTTTTTTTACCAAAAGATAGAGCGTGTTTCACTCTATTTTTCTATGCTAT